TTATTTTTTCTATGCATCATGTTTGTTTGTAGCAAAACTTAGCAGCTCATATAATCTTCATGTCAGGGCAGAGAGATGTGGGAACACCACTTGCTCACAAGGTTTAGGAGATCTTGTTTAGGAGCAGAGATCTCAGCCCTGTGGAGTCACAGGCAGTTGGGCATTTGCTCCATGATCTTCTATGAGCTATTGGGGAAGGATGGGGCAGAGATGCCATCTGCCTGCAGCCCAGGGCCAGGGTTACAAACAGGTACTTGTCCTCACAGGCAGGTAACTGCAGGCACTACTGCCAGAAGCAGGTTCCAATCCCTGACACAGCATTGCCAGCTCTCAGCACTGTCCTGAGTCTTGTGAGATCTGGTGTTTCTCTGATGGTTCCCCGACTCAGAGTAAGACTGGGGAGACTTCAGCCTCAGATGAGAAAAGCTTGGAAACATGGTCTCCAAAACCAGTATGCAGTAAGCAGAACTCAGATGAGCTTCATTAAGAAGCCCCACAAATTTAAGCTGATTTCAGTTTGGGGACCTGAGTAATGTTTTTCAGCAGTTGGAGAGTCACAGTGCTGCTGTCTGGAGGACCAGCTTGGAAATGGGAGTCCCCTGTCTCAGGAGAAAGGCAGAAGAGGCAAAGGCAACTTGCATGTCCTCTCACATCCAGTGAAAGAGGGGTAAGAGGGGAGGAAAGCAGCTGCCACAAACACATTTGAGGCAACTGTAGACTCCTGAAGTCTGAAGCCAAGAGAGACCATTAGCTCTGCCTGAGCTTGTCTCCCTCCAGGCATTGCACTTCTAGATCCCCTGCATGCAGCAAAATGACTGTTCCTGAAACACTGTTGAGAGCGCAATCTGCTGTGGGCAGAGAACAAAGCTACCAAGGTCCAGTGCCAGGCCATGGTCAGCTTTGGCTGGTCTTGTCCTGCTCCCAGCCTCTGATGATCATGGTCATCTGATGATGTGTTTCCAGCAAGGCTGATTCAGCAGCTATAGCAATGAGGTTTAGACCCAGCCCTGTGAGGGACTTTCAACGCACAGACCCAGACTGTTCATCTTTTGCAGGCTTGGAGGGGCTCTGGACAGGGAAAGTGAGCAATCCTCAGGAGACCACAGCTTACGCTAGAACCGCTTGAGCTACATGTGTCAGAGCATCTAAGTCCTTTCCAATCAACATCTAGGATTTCTTATGAACCAGGCCATTAGTGGGGTTTCTTTCACACTGCATTACCCCTCTCTTCCTCCCTGGCTTTGATCGAAAAGGTCTTGCTGATGGAAATGGCGTCAAAGCCACAGCATCCCTGTATAAAGTTTTGATCTCAGTGAATCACAGTTATCTATTAAAAAAGAAAGCTTTCAAAACCAGTTTGATGAAATTACTTTTACATAAAATGTGTCCATGTCAGATGTTGCACCTTGGCAGCATTAGATGGGGATGACAGAGACGGGGACCTTTGGAGTGAGGCTCACCATACCCGTGTCAGGCACCTCATTTAGGATGGGACAAATCACCACCTGAGGGCACACGCTTTTGGACTCCACTTCCCCATCCATAGGCAGAGGTACAGTCCCATCTCCCTGCTCTCTGCAGGAGGATGGCAAGATGGAGGAAGGGGGCAGAGGATAAATACACTTCACATGTTACCACGAGAAGGAGGGGCATAATCATTTCCTTGGCGCCTGGTGGTGCTTACAGGTGGACCTGAAAACCTGGAAAAAGTGTTTCTCTTTTGGTACTGTTCCTGCTTGTTGCAAGGACAAGTGTGGAGCTCACAGCAAAGTATAAGTGTGGATCTGTGGAGGCAAATGCTGTCACAGAAGCAAGCATGAACACAATGTCCTTCCACCACTGCTTGAAGGCCTGTGTTTTTACTGCACCTTCAATAGTGGGCACTGCATTATCAAGGGTCTATATGGTGACAATGCGTAGGGGACACTACGTGCTGAGTTGTGCAGCGCTGCGCTCTGTGATGGGGAGTCCATTCTTCCCAGGACGGTCTGGACTGCATCCCTCATCCATCCAGAGCCATTCTGGCTCCTCCCTGTTGACTTTGTTTATTTGATTTCACTCCTGGCATAAAGGACGTGAGCAGAAAATTGACTGTGACTTGCACAGCGAGAAAGGAAGAAAGAGAAAGTATCATGAGATGAGGAACAGTCAACAAGGTCCTGAGCCCTGCTGGGTAAATCCCATTTAACTCAGTGACATCTGAGTGTAAAATAGGTCTAGGAATAGCCGGAAGACTTGTGCCAAACCCAGCAAAGCACAAAGCAGAAGCAAAACTGCCTTTCTTTGAAGTCCTCAAACCCTCCCTACCCTCACCAATACCAGAGCTCACCCTTTACCTCTTCCAACCTCCTACAGGTGTTCCTGCTGTCCACTGCGTCCCCTTCGTCAATAATTTGTCATTCAAATGGCCTTCTAATGCCTGTAAACACAGAAATTGGCATCTGGACAGCAGGAAATCTAGGAAATTAGCACAAGGGACTCTTCTGGGCTTGTGGCCAATATATAGTCCTAGGAGCCACTGAAAGCACAGCAGACTCAAGCTCTAGAAAGCAGGAAGAGTGTCACTACGTTGGCATAAAGCGACTCCTAGCCCATGCAGGATAAGTGACAGTAATGCGCTAGTCTGCTTTGTGTTAACCACAGGGAGCATCAAAGCCAAACTCCCCGTGATACTGATTTGGGCATGGACAAGCCCAGATCTCAGCTCTGTTCAGGGCCCATTTAGTTGCTGTGGGGAAATGCCACAACACACAGCTGTTACCTCTTTTTTTTTTTTTTTTTTTAATTTCAGGTTCATCCTGTTTTTTGCCACCTCGTCTGGTTTCCTCATGCCCATAGAGCTGTGGGCACTGGTCCAAGCATTTTGACCACAAGACTCACTAACTACTGTACAAGGGAGACACGCGGTGTGCCCTGACACTGTGACCAAAACGGGAGTTTCCACAGCAGCCCGTCACAGCATCCAGCAATTCTCCTTCTGGCTTTTCTATGGGCTTTGGAGTGGTGCTGACCCCGTGGCCAACACAGGCTGAGCTGCTCTCTGCTACTGTGCTTCAACTTCAGGGGTAGGTTTGAATCCCTCAAGAGTCTGAATGATGCTTTTGCATGAGTAGGAGAGGACAGGTCCTGCTTTGGGCATGCAGGACCTCGGAAAATCCTTCAGCACTGGCATGAATGGGACAAATCCTAGCAAGTATGACAGAAAGCAGCTGTTAATGTACTGAACACTCACCTGCGTGTGTGGATAAGTATGCACACAAACTAGACATGCATGCAGGCATCAGGATTGTCAAGGCTGTCTAGCCTATCAAGGCACTTAGGAATCCCAGCACAGGGCACTGACTTCTTGCTTCATCCTTTGGGTGGGACAATGCATTTGCACCGAAACATGCCTGGCTCCTCTGCAGAGGCTGATGCTGGTCATGGAGCTGGGATGGCAACAGTCAGATCTGCTGGGATCCCAGGGCCATGCTGCACGGCATCTCCTGCCCAGCGATACAGAGGGTACTGACAGATCAGTCCCCATCTCAGTGCCAAGAGTGAGCTATTCACCAGTATGGGTCTATGCCACATCTTTTTGGCAGCCCCAGTGATGGATTTGGAGGAGACAGATCACAAATGCAACAGTTTGGGCATTGCCCTCCCTGACATTCACACAGGTGGAAACTGGCTGTGGCAGAGGTAGAAAGTACCCAGAAACACCCCATGAAGTTGTTGCAGGTGGGCCTCAGATACTGCCACACTGGCTGCCCAACTTGCAGCATCACAGACTCTCTGAGATGTGAGCCATCCAAGCATCCTCCCCTGCTTCTTCCCATGGTCGCTGTTCCCTTCTCGTGAACCATCAAGCCTAGAGCAAGGCTGGCACTCAGTAATGGCCCTGCTGATGTCCTTCACTCCTGGCTTGCGACGGTCCCTCCCTCCTCCACATGTGGTTGTTCTGTGAAGCTGAGCACCAGTCCCAGTGCTGTGAATCCCAATGGTGGCCAGTGCAGCCTGGAGACCCTCAGCCTGACTTGCACGCATAGTCCACTAGTGCATGTTCCCAGGACCTTGGTACACCCATGACACCGCTCTTACCCTTCTCTGGCCCACACTACATGCCACCGCATGTGACCAGCTGGTCTTGCATGCATAGACCTCAATACCTCAACAGTCTTCCTGAAGGGAGGAGCACAGAAGAAAATCTATAGTTTGATAAGGAAGAGCAACCTCCTGGCAAACTCTCTGCACAACCCTGCTGTAACCTGGAGTACATGCGGAGTGCACAGAGGGGCTGTCTGCAGTACAAGGAGTGCACAGCTAGATCTAGGCAGGTGCTTTATGGCCCACTGTGTGGTATGGGGACACCCAGACATCAATGGTTTTATTTTCATAGCATCCTGAGGTCAAAGATGGGGGTCATACAGAAGATGAAGTCACTTGCACAGTGACTCCATGAAGCACTGGTGGCACAACCAGGAATGGACACCAGCTCTCCAGCACAGCCAGCCTGAGCTGCAAGGCCAGGAGCTGCATGTTTGGGGAGATACACCCTATTTCATAAATCCAAGCCTGAGTGCTGCTCCACTCTGAACTACCTTCTGGTTCATTAATCACAGAGCTGAGTCTAGTTATCTGTGCATATCAGAAGAAAAATGGCCCTGCCTGACTTCTTGGGATTGCTTACTAACGTTCCTCTACCTGCAACCTGGAGTCCTCAGCTCCAAGGGGCTGGGCTAATATTTCCTGCTATTCTGAGCATCCTGAAATATGAATGATGTTGGGCGAATGCGTGGGACAGTTTGAAGGGAAACAGGAGCATTAGCAGAGCATGTTTCATGCAAGGAAACCCTTTGTTGGCACCAGTTAAAGATTGCATAACCATGCTGAGTATGTCTTATTTATTACTGTTGTGTTAAATGCTCAACCTGCCTTCAGATCACGGATTACTCAACATCCTTTTAATTTTTCAGCTTTTTAGCTGGTTAGCGTACTTCACCCCTTGCAGATGACAACCATTTAGGAAAAAGAAATCTTTATTTTATATTTTTTTTGTATACTTGTACACAAGTAAAATAAAATGCATATCTATATATACTGCAATCTCGTGAAGGAAAAGGTAGCATTCTTTAACAAATGCTGCCCGTAAACATGGTGTGATGGAATGAATACGGAAAAACTGCAATATTCATAAACATAGGATTAAAACAGCATCAAATTCATTACCTCTGCAAATGGGAACCTGCAATATTGTTCAGTGTGATGTCAAGTTACAAACAGATTTTAGACATTCTTTTCAGAGCATTTCTTACACTTTTTTTTTTTTTTCCTGTAAATAAACCATATTTCTTTACCATCTGCTGTAGCAAAAGCTGCTTTTTGGGCAAGTGCAGTTCCGAAGACCAAAGGTATAATTCACAGGATTCAGGACAAATAAATTATGTACATCTTGGTGTTTGTCTTTTTTGTTTTGTTTTGTTTTGTTTTTTTTTATAAAGGCATCCAGTTAACTTTTGTGTAACAAAGCTTTCTCAGGGTGGATGGTAGTTTTGCTTTTGTTTGCAACATTTATGGAGGTCAGCAAAAGTCTAGTATTAAAGTGTCATCAACCCAGGAAAAAAGTTAATTTTAGCAGAATAACAGTAAGCTCCACACCAAGGGGGGGATCAAAAGGCTTAGGCTGAGCTGTAACGTGGAGCTGTTTCCTTGCTGGGTGAGGCGGCACTGAGCCTTTGATTTGTTCTTTTTAGAGCAGCCCTGCCTTTTTTTGGTTGGGATTGTGGAAGGTTCAATAGGCTCTAGAAATTCTGGTTTCAACTTGGTCAATGGAGGGTCTACAATGCTGGGGAAGGTCCCAAAGGGGGAATCGTTTATCTGCTTGTTGCTGCCATTTTTGGAAGGGTCCGTCTCAACATACTTGGTTTTGGACATGTTCTCCTTGTCCTTGAGAGGGTTGTTGGAGGATGGCCGGCTGCTGTGGGAAGAAGGACCTGCCTTGCCTTTAGCTTCATAAATAAAAGATTTATCCGTTTCTGGCTGGCAGCACTTCGGGGAGCCATTGTGGGAACCAAGAGGGGGGACCCCAGTTGGCAGTTTACCAGATCTGGTCTTAGTGCTAAAAACGCTTGTTCGTATCTGGTTGAAGGAGTCGACGCATCCTTCCAAGTCGGCGCTCTGCAGCCTTTTGAGGTCTCTCCCTGCCAAGCGAGGGGGAAGGTGGCACTCTAGCTCTGAAGACGATCCTTTAAACTGTTTAAACCAATTCCAGAGAGACCGAGCCTGGCAGTCACAGATCCACTGGTTACCATTCAAGCGTAGGTACTGGAGGGACACCAGGGGAGCCATGGTTTCCCCCGTGAGCACTGTCAGGTTGTTGTTAAACAGATACAAGGTCATCACTTTCCCAAGGTCATGAAAAGACCGGCGGTGAACCAGGCTGACCCTGTTCTGGTGCAGAAGCAGCCGGTCAAGGTTGATTAGCCCACGAAAGACATTCTCGGACAAGCTCTTGATTTTGTTACCATGCAAAAACAGGTAGGTGAGGTTTGCGAGATCTATGAAGGTGTCATCCAGCAGGTTCTGAAGATTATTATCCTGAAGGTAGAGATATTGCAAGGAGAACAAACCTCGAAAAAGCCCTGTGGAGAGCTCCAGGAGCCCACAGCGATCCAGGTGTAAGGTATGGAGGTGAACAAGACCCCGGAAAGTGACAGGGTTGATAGATTTCAGGTTCGTGTTGTCGCTGAGATCTAACTCCTCCAGTTTGTTGAGCCCATAGAAGGCTCCAGGCTCAATGAGGCTGATGTTGTTGGAGTGGATCCAAAGAATTGTCATATTGCGGCAGGAGGTGAAGCTGGTGGACCTCACAAGGGTTATCTTGTTGTTGTGCAAGAAGATGCGCTGGCTCTGGATGGGTATCTCAGTGGGGATTGCTGTCAGTCCTTGCTGCTGACAACTTATTGTAATCTTCGGTTCACTGTAGCATACACACGCCCCGGGGCAAGACTCCACTTCTGACTGGATGTTCAAGCAAAGCACCAAAATCAGCAGTTTGCTTCCTAAAGGATAACAAAAATAGTATGCAAATTAGCCAGGGTCATGGGAGAGCGCTTTCCTTTGCAGCTAATAGATGAGCCTGAAAATCACCCTTCTAAGTGCGTTGCCACTAACCACAAACAACATATGCCAGGGGAGCCAAACAATTAAAATGCAGAATTAAAAATGCTCTACTGCTCAACACAATAGCTAAAATCAATATACACTTGTAGTGACAAAGTCTGAGCACCTCCTCAGCCTTTCACACTTTGGTGGTGAAAGAGAGTGATCGTTATGTATTTGCATTGTGGGTCCTGAATGCACATCTAACATAAGCCCTGTTCCAAAGAGCTTACCTCTGAGCAAAGGGGCTGTCTTCTGGGGGCCATTTGTCTCTGCCACAGGCACATTTAGCGCAGTTCAGCCTATGGGAAAGCATCTGCCCAGCTGTGGCTGATGCCTGCAGCCACGGGGTTGTACTAGGCAACTCTGCGTCCCATTCCAGCAGTGCCACCAGCTCCTTGCTTTTCGGGATCATTGAACAACTCTCCAAAACAAGCAGGTGTCCCCAGATTGCGTTCAAAACGTAAGATGGAGATGTGGCTTTTGTGACTTTCCATGAACAATTTCTGACTGACCTGGTCTTCCTGTAAGAAATAACTGTGAGGATTCCCAGAATAACTTACAGGTCAGACCTGCCTGTAGAGGTCTCAGGGCCAAAAGCATCCTTTCCTTCTCTCGGTCAAACCTTTACACCACATAGTCTTGCTTTCCCTTCCTCTGTCACCTTTTTCCCTTTGAATCTGGGCAGCCACCAAGGAAGAGGAGAAAACAGCATGTTTTTCCACAAAGGGCGGTACTGTTGTTGGAGGAAATCATGTGAAATGCTTGATTCAGGGATTCCTCAAAGTTTGCAAGGCAGAAGTAGGTTTCGTGTGTCCCAAGTGTTCAGGCATCCCATTGGGGTTGAAAAGCCCCTGAGAGGAACATTTTTTCATGGCGATGACCACCTCCTTCCCAGGAGCTGGGCTGCACAGGAATCACAAGGAAGCATTTTGATTCACCAAATTCACCAGCCCCAGCTGGGCTGCTGGGAAAGGGCCTGGAGGATGGGCAGGGATGGGCAGAGGCTGTGCAGCCAGCATCGTCTTCTGAAAGGGGACCTGCGAGGGAGGGTCAGCATGAACCTCCAGCTGAGACACCTGCAGAGAGACCTGCTGTTTCCTACCCAGGGTGGGGAAGGCAGGGAGGAGAGGCAGTTTCAGCAGTGCTTTACCAGCAATTAGCAGCAAGTAATTAGATTGCTTCCTCTAAACCACTTACAGGAGCTAAAATGAATGGGCAGCAACTCTAGCAGTGGGAGGCTCTGTTTGTGAAATACCACGTGCAAGCAGGGACACGTGTGTCTCCTTCCCAGCTCATCACAGCACCTCTGGCAAAAAGGCATGTTCCTCCCCATCACTGGGGATCCCCAGCCCAAGGACAACAGCAGCTTTCCCTCTTCACTGTTGTGGGAGGTTTTTTCCTTCCCCGAAAGACTGAAAATGTTGTTCAGGCATGTTGATGCCTCATTACACCTTAAGGTAAAATAGCAGAGTTCAAAAAGTCAGGAATGAAGAGACAATGATGCAGACTGGGGCAAACTGGGGAGACTGGAGAGAGCCCGGTCGCTTCCAGCCACGTGTGCGTGGTGCAGCATGCTGGCTCCCATGGGGCCAAATCCTGGAGACAGCAGTTGCATCTCACAGAAAAGCCTGAAAGGCAATCACGGAGCTAATGAAACCACATCATCTCTGCGTCGAAGTAGCAACTTCAAACCCCAACAATAAAGGAGTAAATCATACGGAAATCTTACCAAACTGTTTACTGAAGCAATAACAAAGGTATTGGAGAAGCCGCTTTTCTGCAATAACAGGCTGGGATCCCAGGCCTGAGTTTCACGCTAGTCAAAATAATTCACCGTGTGCAATTAATAAATCTGTGGTGATCCAACGGTCCAATATAGGTGGGAGACTCCTATATATCATAGTCCACATGGGAGAAAAAATAACAGCTCGGCATGCAGAGATAATTTGAGTCTGTTATTATTAGCTGCTGAGCATCCCTGGAAGGCAGTGTGTTGAGTGCAGTATTATGACACATTCTGGCTGGCTTGTCATGTTTTGACATATCACGTCCCATTGTATGGAGCAACTGTAACAACTGTATGGAGCAAAGTAACACGAGACAACTGAAATCCCCTGCTGGAGACATGTCACACCAAGAGGAGCCTCCTGGGAAATTAAAACAATGCTGGCAACTCTCTGACCAGCACGATTCCTCTCCAGCTGATAATGAAAACCTGTAGCCAGAGAAATATGACTTTCTGGAGCCTCTTTCTTCAGTTTCGTGATGCAGATGATGTGGGCCGGGGTGGCACTGGAGCAATGGGATTCACCTCACTACGCAATACCACCTGCTCCAGCAAAAGAGCGCTCGGACTGCAGACAATGCTGCAGGCTCCATGGCTCTTCCCAGCTGCTCCTCCCTGCCTTGGCAATACCGCAGGGGCTACAGCCTACTCGGGGAAAATCCAACCACAACCCAGATGCATCCCACATGCCTTATAACTATGCGACACGCTCACAGTGGAGTGAATGCAAAGAACCATTCCTATGGGAGAGGAATCACAATGACAACACTCCTGTTCCACCTCCAGCCAGGGGAGGCAAGTGTAGAATAAATATAGGTATACACGAGGAGAGAAAGAGAGAACATGAAGCAGCCAGCAGGGAACAAGCCATGCATATGAATACCGCCCTGCCCTGTGCCACCCCCTCCTGACAGCCATGCTCCTGCACCCTCTGGATCACTTGATTGCTTGTGCCCTGAGCGTGCACCACCAGCCCTTTCCTATGGACACAGCCAGGCAGCAAGGTCCTGTCCCAGCCTCTGGGCGTGTGCAGAGCTGGAGGCATGCTACAGCTTCTCCCCAGCACAGAGGAGCAGAAGGGAAGGGGCAAATCCTGCTCCACTCTGAAAAATGGTTTTTCTTCTCCTGCTGCCGATGCGTCTGAGGCTGTTGGGAGCTCTGAGTCAGTGGCACTGATAGCTGGCTGCCAGTGGAGCAGCATAGGGAAATTAATTACAGGCAGGGCTAGCCTGTGTGCTTTAATTAGCGACCTGGTGTTCTTGAGCTGCTCGGATTAGCTCCTTCCACCAGAGACAGTTACTGTCAATCATCTCCCAAAGCTTTTTTCCAGTTAGTTTCCCACCGTGCAGCTCAACCATGTCCTGACTGATCCATGACAAAGCTCAGCACCCAGCAGTTGTCAGAGAGTCTCTGGCCAGCACAGAGCCTGAAGCAAGTGCAGGAGTGGGTGCAGCCCACAGACAGCCTTGGGAAGTCAAGGTGATGCTGCAGACCCTTTCTTCCTGAGCCAGATTGGGGTGTGCTGTGACAAAGACCAGAGGGACCATGCCTTGGCCTTCCCCTGTTGCTCTAAGGAGCTTCTCTGTCACTGGTGTTCAACCAGTAACTGTGCCTTGTGCTCAGTGTGTCCCAGACCGCAGTGGTCACCAAGTGCCATAAGCCATCCAGACCTTGCACCAGGACAGTTTCATCCATCCAATTCCAGCCAGATATTACCTTGCTTTTTCTGACCAGGTGCCAAGTGACTACTTTAGGACAGGGATGAGCACAAGGCAGGGTCCTGGGACAGGAAGGTTGCTAAGACCTGGCATCAAGCCACATTAACACAGCCACACAGTTTTAGGATGGTTTGAAGCACAGCAGACCTTGTTCCTGTCTGCCTGGAATACACCCCCATATTTTCAGGTAATCTCTTACTCTAGACCAAGTCCGGCAAGATTGAGACAGGCCAACTGTATCACTGCCCTGTGCCCCCAGGGCTGGAGCCCATCACTTGGAAACAGGCATCTGTTTTGGGGCCCAACGTCGTGATGCAAAGCACAGACACAAGCCCTTTTATGCTGAGCTGAGCATCGCAACAAAGCCCTTTTATGCTGAGCTGAGCATCGCAGCATGGTGTGGACCATGACCTCACTGAGCCTCATGCTCTAGCACAGAGCTGGGGCCATAACACAGAGAAGGAGCTGGAGCACTGATCTGAGGACTGTATTGCAGCGATGGGCAGAGGAACCAGGCACCCCAAGACCCATCAGCCGGGCACCCTGGCACAAAGCCACGTGCTCCACCTTCTTCTGTTCTCCTCTCCACCTTCCCTTGTTCCTCCCCCTCTTTGATTACCTCCTCCTTTCCATTTTCCTCCCCTCCTTCACAACCACCATGTCCCACGGCTTGTCCAGCTGAGGTGAAGGCAGCACCCAGGCAAACCAGTCCGTCCCCAGAGAGGCTGGGACACATCCTGGCAGTGCCCAGAGCCTGTACACTGTTCTGTACACCACACTGCAGCTTGTTTCCCTTGGCACAAAGCAGAGGGGAAGGATGAAGACCTTCAGAGGGTAGCCAGGCAAAGATCACACAGACACAGCTTAAAACTTGCCAGGAATAGTGTGAGTGTCGTGGGCTTCTGCTCCTCTTGGAAGGCACCAAGTATCCATGATGCTGAGGGGTCCCAGTGGGTGCTGCCCTGAGGAGAAAGGTCAAAGCCCTGGTTGAGGGCAGATGACAACAAGAATCCAGAGGACCTGGGCAGAAAGAGCCCAGCTGCACTGCAGCCTGGCTGGCACAGGCAAACGCCATCGTTTGTTTTCCTGGAGTGCTGGGTTCAGCTCTGGCTGTGGGCTCCTTCTTTTTCCAGGAAAAACATACCCTGCCCTTAGCCAGAAGTACAGGAGATATTCACTGGTGGCACAGGGAGGAGGGAGGTCAGAAGGTCCACTGTGTGTCCATTCCCAGAAATATGTGCCAAGACCAGCTCCCAGTGTGGAACTACAGCGTCCTTCCCTTGACCTGCCAGATAAATCCATCCAGAGCTCTGCCTACGCAGTGTGCTCCCACCACCACTGCCAAGTGATTGACACCGGACCCTCCACCACCTGCTGGACTCTTCCACCTGCAGGACTCAACCTTAGTGCTCATCCCTGAGAAAAAGTGTCTTGGCATAACATCCATTCCCTCATCCCTTAGACGAGAAGCCATTCCTACCCCTTCCAGAACACGATTAAAACTTAACTGGATAGTTCCAGTCAAATGCAGAAGATGAAAGAAAACCCAGTACCTGGAACCTTCAGTCCCTCCAAGACTTTGGCTTTGAGTTTAGCATTTGTTCCTCCAGAGCTTTCTTAAAAGCCAGATACCTCCTTCAGTCAAACTGCCGCACTTCCCCTTTGCCATCTCAGAAGTGTTATGACTCATGGAACTGGGAAGCAATTAAAGTGGGTCCATTATCTGTCTTTCCGCTAGTCCCCTGTGCGATCGCATTGTCAAACA